TTTCCTGTGTGGCTGGTCAGAGCATTCGAGCTCGGACTGCTGTCCAGAGCGTCAACAGAGTGTGGCACTGTGGGATAGCTCCTGGAGCTATTACCGTCGATTTCCATGGCCATGTCGAATTTAGCGCTACTCCCCTCATTGGGGAGGAGTACAGAAGTCGAATTTAAGAGACCTCTATGTCGAACTAAATAGCTTCGTGGTGTGGACGGGTGCAGAGTTAATCCGATGTAACAGTGCTAAATTCGACATAAACTCCTAGTGTAGACCAGGCCTAAGGAACCCTTTTTGAATTTTTGTTTTTCCTTCCAACAGCTCTTCAAATGTTTGCTTGTGTCTGGTCTGGTCAGTAGTTAGATCTTTTTGAATTCTTCTAACACACTTTAGCAAATCAGTGAGTATCATGGTCAGAAGCCTCATCAGTAACTCAGGCACTAGTGTTCAATACCTGATGGGTGAGTAGCTCTTCCTTCAGAGCCACAAACATGACAAAAAAGTGGGGGAAAGAGTCATGTTGGTTAAAAAAATGGGGCACTTCTGAAACTGAGAAACACGAGGGACTAAGCACAGCTCTATGAAAGGATGGTCGTGTAATTAAATTGCTGGATTAAAACTCAGACTCTCTGTGTAACCTTGGACAAGTCATTCAGTCTCTTATGGGTCTCAATTCTCTATTTGAAAAATGACATTTCCCTACTTTTTGTCTGTCTGGTGTATTTAGACTGTAAGTTGCTCAGGGCAGGGACTGTCTGTGTGTATTGTTGCTCCTTCTTCTAGTACCAGTGTCCTGTTCTGACACCAGCTTTACCCTCAGCCAAGGGGGCAGGTGTCCTACATGTAGCAGATCGGAGGAGAAATCGGTGACAGGGGGTCTGAGTGCACTCTAAGTGAAACTTGTCATATTTATATTAATTCACCTCTTTTGGAATGAGATGGTCACACAGCTCACAGGGTGGACAACTTGTCCAGAGATCTCAGCCTAGCACCAAATTCCCAAGGTGAAACTCTGGCTAACGAATGGGATCTAGTCAGAGCCCCAGGCAGAGAACAAACTCCTACTGTTGGCACGGATACCTCCTTCCCAAAGCTTACCCCCAACACTACTCCTCATCTGGGGGTGTCTTTCCTTTTTATCCCAGTTGCAGTCTTTCTTTCCCTTTATGTGTTCTCTCCCAACTTTGGAGTCTCTTTCTCCTCAACTTCTCACTTGTATTCCCTCCTTTCTTACCTCTAAATCTTGTGGAGCTCTTGTTGTTGCTTCATCAAAAACATCAAGTTAAGGCTTATCTCCCCAGTTTCCTGCATACACCCAGGGTTTTGTGTCTTCCCCTGTTCAACACAAATTTAGAGTCTCTCATCCCACTGGGTGCCTCCCTTACTGCCTTCAAAATATCTCAGGGGCTCTACCAAGCCTCACTGAACCTGGGGGGGGGGGTCCTCAGGGAGTGCGGGCTTCTCTCCCTCATACAAATTCAGGGCTCTTTTTCTCTCCCAAACATTGGGACTCCCATCCCCATTCGGCAGAGTGACCATATTTTCAAGGCAACTGTAGTGAAGGAGAAGGCCATGAAGGTGACAGTTCTGGTGGGTGGGTTGTCTCTACATGTGTGCAAGATTTAGCAGCTTTTGGGGAGCAGAGGGCTCCCTGTGAGCCATGGAGGGAGGACAGAGTGGCAGTATGTGACAGCCATGCTGGGGACTGGTCACTGAGATGCACATGGTCATAGTCAGGTTGCTGCCATAGTTCCACTCTCCGCTGGTTGGCTGCTCCCCCAGGAGCCCAGACTCTGCAAGGAGGATGCAGAAATGAGCAGAACATTTTGTTGTAATAACCCCACCAGTTTCTGGAACAAGCCCTGCCAAGAGGGACACATGGTCACCCTCCTCTCAGGACTTCCCCCCCCAAACTTTGGGGATCCCCCTTGTTGTGGGGCTTTTCTCCTCTTTGTCTTCTAATCCTCCCTCCCCCACCCTTTGGTCCCTGGTCTCAGAGGAAGGTGGGTCTGATGCTGCCAGTGCTGGGCCTCGCAGCTGCCTCCCCTCCCCAGGCCTGATGGTCAGAGTTGGGAGCTGGTGGGCTGGGGGCAGAGACAGAGACATGAGAGGGCTGCTCCCTGCAGGGCAGCAGCAGAGCGAGTGCTGGGGGCGTGGAGGGGCAGGATCTCCCAGCTCCTCCTGCTCTGAGCCTGGCCCAGCTGCCTGGGGAGAGTTTTCCCCCTACAGCCTCCCTGTAGCGATGGGCCTGTTCTGATTGGGTTGCACCATCCCAGGGCTGATCAGTGCCAAGTCCAACCTGAATGGCTGAGAGTTGAGTAGGTGGGACTTAGGGTGACCAGACGGCTGCCCCTTAAATTCTGGCTGGTCAGTGGAAAGGCTGAGGGGCGGAGCTTAGTGATGAAGTCTTACCCCAAACCTTAATCCTTATTGGTCAATGGCAGAGGTTTAAGGATTGGGGTGTCTGGGCCATTCACAGTGCTCATTGGTCAAGAATGAAGTGCCAGGGCTCGGGTTTAGGCAGGAAGTCCCACCCAACAGCAGTTCCTCATTGGGCAAAGGGTAGGGCTTGGGAAAGAGGGTGCAGTGGGGGTCCTGGCTCACTCCGGGTGCTGATTGATCAGGGAGAGGGACTGGTGGGCAGGGCCGCCTGTCAGAACAACTGTGATGAGCCCTATTCATAGCATGATCCCTCTTCTCTGTGTTTCTCTCCTCTGTAGCTTGAAGTCGTGTGAAATCACAGACGCTGCCTGTGAGAATCTTGCCACCGTTCTCAGAACCAACCAGAGCTTGACAGAGCTGGAAGTGAGGTTTGGAGATTTGGACGATACCATAGTGCAACTGCTGTGCAAGGGGCTGACACACCCGAACTGCAAACTTCAGAGACTGAGGTAAGTAACGTTTGGCCGCCTCTGTGTATTCACAGGTGTCCTCTATGTAAAGCACTTGACAGGTTGAGAGATGGTGGAGGGGACAAAAGGGTTTTTCTCTCTCTCTGCCCCACTCTGATGGTTCTCAGGGACTGAGAGTCACCTCGCTACCCCCTGCCTACAGTAAGAGGGAGTCTGACTAGTAGTAGCTGAGCACCAGTTGCCTAACACCACCAACCCCAGCTTTGCCTTACAGGCTGACAAGTGGGCACCCTAATCAGAGTCCCTTTGAATAGTTATCCTGTGATACCCAGCCCCTGACTCTGGCTACTCACAGAAGTACCAGATACTCTGCACTCAAAGGTTGCCGTGTACCCCAGTTTACCAGATTTACCTTAAATCACCACTCCGGTACACCACACAGCACTTGTGAACTCTTGTAATAAAACAAAAGTAGGTTTATTTAAGAAAGAATAAAGATTTATCTAGAAATGAGAGAAAGTGATGGAAACAACTGGTTACAACAGAAAACAAAATCATAAATCCATGAACCCAGGTCTACACCAGTAAGTAGTTACCTTTCCCAGCTAATAAAGTAGGTTTTCCCAAAAAAGTTTAGTGTGTTGCAGAACTAGCTGGTTTCATAAGAACCAGGATCCAAACATTCAGGACACCCTCCACAACTCCTCAAGCGGTTTCCTTAGTGAATGAATACAGAGTGCCTTTCTCCACACTCTGTTATACTGAGAACCGTCATCTGCTGTATTCATAGCCATGGCAATCCCCTGCCTGTTGTAAGGTTCTTTTTCATCTCCAAGCTTTGATCATTTACCATTGTCTTTCGTGGTTTTCTATTGGCTGTTCTGGGATGTGGCAAGGGTAGACAACACAGCTCTCTGTCGAAATGTTACACGTTATACTTGATGGATAAATATCCTATAAGATGTGTTTGGTGTATTATGTTTGTCAGATCTGAGGTGAGAGCTGTTTGCAAAGAACAAGGGACCTTTTGCCAAGGGCTCTCTGTGTCACACCCATCCCATTTTCTTTTCTCTTATTCTTTATCTTTCCTCTTATTACACCAACTCCATCTCATGCTGACCCTCATGTTGTTCTTGGCAAAGGCTTTAGTAAAGAGGTGATCTTGCAGTTTGCTTTGAAAATGGCCAGTCCAAGACTCAGTCTGATCCCCTCTAAGAACAAGTTCTACAGCTGTTGAGTTCTAGCTGTTGAGAACCCACTGTTCCAGTGCTAAAGAGTAAGATCCTGGGCTTCTCCAGTGGGATTGTCCCTGAGAAGCACAGTTGTGCGGCAAGGTGCTGGATGGATAAATCAATCCCTGAGACTTTGGCCTGGGCATCAACAGCTCAGCTCCCCACCAGACCTGTAGCACCACACAACCACACACAAACGTCTGTACAGCAGTGCACAAGGGATCCCATCACCTTTGGTGTTTAACCTGCTCAGAGGAAATGCAATCACATATTTTCCACCTCCACGTCCCTCTGCGCTGTTTCAGCACAAGCACTGGCAGAGAAGCTGCTGTCGTGCAATGAGTCTTTTCCCATTGCAGTTCCACATTACCCCTGCCCATCCTTCTGTGGCCGCTTTGATAACTCAGAATCACTTGGCTCAACACAGGGGTATGTGGGTGAAATGTAACGGCCTGTGATGTGCAGGAGGGCAGACTAGATGAGCTAATGGTCTCTTCTGGCCTTAAACTCGATGAAGTTGATCCTATCACCTGTCAAGTTGCTCACTGGAGTTAGTTGGAAAATGTCATAATTTTGATGAAAAAAATGGATGGAGTATTAAGCAAAATATTCGAGAGAAATTTGTTTCCATTTTTCAGTGAGCTCTGCCACTTGTATCCCTGCTTCATGCCAGCCCCAGAGCAGCTGATGGGAGAAGGGCTGGTCTCTGCTCGGACCAGCCCACAAACACTCCCCCTTAGAATAACAAAGACAAAATGAACAAGAATTACAACATTATAATATCAGAACTTCAAACACGTGTCAACTTTAAAAAAAAATGTTTGGTCCATTGGGAATTCTTGTGGAAAAACATAATACCATTAAACCACAGGTTAGTGAGCACGGCCATGGTGCATGGGCATGGACACAGACACCCCCCAATGCACAATGGCTCTCTGTTGACAGGCTCAGCAGCAATTTCCGCACTGCTGAGATCAGCTAAAGAGAACACAGAGCATGGTAATACTTAACAAATTAACATCCGCATGAACCCTACCCTCTGCACTCCCACACTTCAACTAAATCCTCTTCCTTTTCCATGGTTCTCCATCACCCTCTGATTGCTCCCATCCTTCCATCCCAAGGGATTCCAGTATAGCAGGTGGGAGAGAAATTCGGTGAGCATGGGGTGCGTGAAGGACTCCAAAGGATATTCTTCCTGTGGGCCCAGAGCACTGTCATCTCCTAAAGGAAAACACAGGATAGAGAGAAACTGAGCTCAGCTACTAAACAAATCATGAAACAGAAAAACTACTGAAAAATAACAAAATTTAAACAAACTTTGTCTAAGAGACTCACAAACATGATTGAAGAAATGAATTAAAAGAAAAAAAATCCAACTTCTCACCTGCATGAGCACAGGCACCTAAAGCTACTGGTGTCCTTTATGATCCATTGTGGGCCGCCAGGCCCAGAAACTGTATGGGAGTAGGAGAAGTGGCAGTAGGAGCTGCTGACCCTCTGTCATAGCATCTACAAGTGTCAGGGTGTTGCTGCTGACAATGCAGGATACAACCATTTAAATCAGGCAATGCAGCAAACCAAAAATAGTGACTAAGTGCACACATATGCTATAATTTGTAGACTCTATGCACCTGCTCCAGAAAGCAGCACTAGGAAATGTAGGGTAGGTACAACAATCCACAGGCCCTGCAACATTTGCTGAGTGTCCTTGTGACGGGTTGGATCACAGAAACCGCCTTGGGAACTGCCAACTGATGTGCCAAGACTACTTCTGCCGCTGCTTTCCTACCCTTTCCAGCTTGGGACTCTAGAGCCCTGCCTGGTTTGAGCCAGACCCACTAGCCTGCACCAAACCCAGACCTAGGTCTGAACCACGTCCCCTAACAGTTGTAGGCTTTCCTGGAAGCAGCTTAAGAAGTGTTCCTGTCTTTAACACTCAGATGCTCAACTCCCAATGGGGTCCAAACCCTAAATAAATCCGTTTTACCTTGTATAAAGCATATACAGGGTAAACTCATAGATTGTTTGCCTTCTATAACACTGAGAGATATGCACAGCTGTTTGCCCCTCCCCCCCCCAGTACTAACACGTACTCCAGGTTAATTAATAAGTAAAAAGTGATTTTATTAAGTACAGAAAGTCGATTTAAGTACAGAAAGTGGATTTAAGTGGTTCCAAGTAGTAACAGACAGAACAAAGTGAATTACCAAGTAAAATAAAACAAAACTATATCTAAGGAGGGGCTAGCTCCCAGGCTCGCCGCCCAGAACAGCTATCATTTCACTACCAACAGTCGCGGGGGTAGGATGTTTCGCTCTGCATGTGTTCAGTAACACAGACTCTCTTACTGCTTTATTTTTTCCTCTCTTTCTATTCTTGAATAACCTACCAAACTAGGTCTTTACCATCCTCTTTCCTTACTCAACCTCCCCAAATAATCTTTCTTTCCTTTTTTCTCTAAACCTTACTCAAACTTTCTTTTTTTCATCTTTAAACTCTCTCACTCCATTCTTTAAACCTTTTTCTCTATGTACCCAAGCACAAACACACACAACACTTCCCCTAGTCAAACATAACATTTTTTCAAAATGGCCGACGGTGCCAAACTTCGGTGCCAACGGAAATGGGGTGGGAAGGCGGGATATAAGCCCTAAATGGGGCATGGAAACCTGTCAAAAATGCATGGTGATGAATACTATTGATGGATATACTACTTGAGTTCAAATGTAAACAGTATGTGAGAGTTCATAAGATGTTACAACAACCACGAAAAATAGGCCAAGCTGTTTACGATGTTGAATCTTTCCAGAGTTGCAAGAAAACCAGATAGAGAAAATAGATTAATTTAAACCAAAAAGGCCATGTTGATATAATCCAAGGACTGTTGAAATTATACTTGTGAAAAACAGATGATGTGGGGCCGGAAATTGGTGTGACGGATATTAGCCCTAATTGTTGGACAAAATGATAAGAGAGATGAACTATGATGCCCGCTTTTCCCACTTTTGAGTTCCTTAAAAAGAGACTTTGGGAAAAAATATTCAGATCACTTCAGATAAGCTCCCCCTCTCATCTTCCATCCCACCTTGCATCACAGCTCATCTCCCAAACTGCCAGCACTGCAACTCACCTCGGCTCAGCTAAAGGACTTTCTTCCTGAGAGGAAGGATGGCTGGCCTTAAACTTCTTCGAGGAACTTTGTTTTCACCTGTGAGTGCTGAAGGTCATCGCATTATCATGACATCCAATCCTCAGTCCAGCTGTGGGGTATCAAACTGCCAGCACTGAAGAAGCACATAAGATGCTGCATTGTTTTCCCTTCCCTTGTTGTATTATTTTCTGTCCCCCTTTCCTTTCCTTCTCTTCTCTCTCTTACTTTTTTGGCTTTTCATGAAATCCTGAAGTCAGCTATGCTGTATTCATCCAAGCCTGCCTTGTCTAAGAAGAAAAGATTCACTCAGTTAACATCCCTGACCAGATCGTAAACCAGGGTCCAAGCAGCAGGTGTAGTGGTCGACTTGCCAGCAAAAAAGCATCCACACATAAATAACCGGCAATACAGTGTTCCAAAAACATCAACAAAACCCATCTTTCATCCATCTTTTCTATCCTGTCTCTCTGCCTGGGGAGGGAGCTCCTCCTACAGCCTCCCTGTAGCGATGGGCCTGCTCTGATTGGGCCATACCATCCTGGGGCTGTGGTTGGTTGAGAGCTGAGTGGGCAGGACTTAAGGGATCTAGTTCCCATCCTGAATTCTGGTTGTTCAGTAGAAAGGACTGGACGGCTGCATGGGGAAGAAGCCTTAAAGCAAATCTTATTCCTCATTGGTCAATGGCAGAGTTTTGGGGATTGACATATCTGGGCCATTCTCAATGCTGATTGGTTATCTCTCAAGGGGAAGCAGTGGGGCTTAAACAGGAAGATCCACCCAACACTGGTTACTCATTGGCTAAGGGGTAGAAATTGAGACAGGGCCCAGGGCAGAATTTCTGGCCCATTCTCAATGCTGATTGGGCAGGGCTGCCTGTCAGAACAGCTTTAATGAGCCCTCTTCACTCTGTGATCCCCCTTCTCTGTGTTTCTCTCTCCTGCAGCTTGACTTTTGGTGATCTCACAGACGCTTGCTGTGGGGATCTTGCTGCTTTTCTCAGAACCACCCAGAACCTGACAGAGCTGGAACTGGGTCAACGTAAACTGGGAGATGCCGGTGTGAAGCTGCTATGTGAGGGACTGAAACAAAACCGCACATTACAGAGTCTGAAGTAAGTAATGTTTGGCTTCCTCTGTGTATTTACAGATGTCCTCTATGTAAAGAGCTTGACAGGGTGCGTAGCTGGTGTCTGCTCCCTGCAGCTACATGGAGAAGATGAGAGTTCAGTGTCTCCAGCACGTGTGTCAGTGGCTCACAAAACATGCACCCAGCCTGCCCTGTTTGGAAAATGAAGACTAAGTAAAGCTGAGCCCACACCAAAAAATTAGATCCTCAGCCCCTGGTGTTTGGGGAATATATATGTAAATATATACAACTTTTAATAAAATGTATTTATTAAAAAGGGGTCACTGTTACTCTTCAGCTAACAGCCTATTTTATAGATCATTCTAATAATTTTTGACACCTTGAATGTTCATATATATAACTAATAAAAACAAAAGAGACCCCAAGACTCTGAGGATTCTCAACCTCCCCATCTGAGCAGAAATACTCAATTTGGATTTATGCTTCAGCCCCAGCCATGGTGGCTTCTCACTTTGATGTTCCCAGGGCTGGGGCTGAACGTTCTCCCAGCTGAGAGCTAGCACCAGTTTGAAGAAACACCCTTTGAAGTGCAGCCTGCTGGGGATGGGGATATGTGTTTACAGTTATAAACAGGGCAGGTGAGAGCAGGTGCCAGGTTGGACTCATTATAAAAAAACCAAACCCTTTGGGGAAAGCTGTGGCTCTTCCTTTTTCAGTACATTTCTGCTCTTTTTTCTCTGCTTTCAAGATAGAAGACTCATCCCAGGTCTCTGAGATTCTGGGGGAAAAAATTGACACCTCATCTTTTTGTCACGCTTTGGGATGAAAAAAAATGTTAAAATAATTGGAATTTCCTTGCTCGATGGAAAATCTGACTTTTGTTCAGCTCTGCTGTTGAATGAGTTTGATCATTGAGTTCTTTACTTTCAAAACACTTTGGATCTGACTCTTAAAAGAGGACTCACTTCCTGTGAGTGCAGTGTTCACTTTCAAAAAACATAGAAATCAGCATGAAAGGCTTTTTCTTCTTTTACTTCAAGCTGTGACTAAAGTGACTTTTACTTTAAATGGTCACCGAAGACTCCACTTTGATCCCTGACTAACTTAACAAAACAACTTTTAGCTACATTATTTTTCTTTTAACTTTCTTTCAGGTTTTCTTTTAAACATGTCTCTGGGTTTTAAAACTTGTTTTTGTTATAATAATATGTAGCCCCTCTTCCCTTTTCTCTCCCAGGCGCTTATTTTGGGTATTTTCTTTCCACTCCTCGCACAGGTCAGGTTCTGGGTTCTTTATCTTTTTTGACTCCTGGTGTCTCCACTCAAAGAGACTCTGCACTGTGCCCAATGCACAGGCTGGCTATCCTTTGATAGAGCCATGATAATACTTCAAACTGGAAAGAAGCGTAAAGCCCAGTGTACAGGGGAGAATAGAGTAAATAAAATAAACCTCAGCAAATTAATGACAGACCAAAAATAACACTATAACAGAAAGGTGAACTGTATTGGTCACAGGAAAATAGGATCAGGGGCAGGAAGGGATTAAGATGATCAAATACTTAAGAAACATTATTAACCCAATTTCCTGCATCCTAATGCTCACAAACTCCTCTAAGCCAACCTCCCACCTGGCACCTTCCCAAGGTGGATGGTGCTGCTGAGGTCGCATGTCCTGAGATGGAGTGTTGCAGTGCTATGGTGGTGACTGACTAAAACAAAAGTCACCTTTTAATTGATGCCTCAGTAGGGCAGGCTCCTCTTCTGACTCCATCCAGGTTCATTAGAATTCCTTGGGATCTCAGCTGGCTCTTGGTAACCTATGCCGGGTAAGATCTCTCTCTCTCTCTCTCTCTCTGGATTCTGATCATTGCAGTGCTGGAGTCACTATATCCCTGAAGCCACAGTCTAAGAGTAATGCAAACTCCTGGACACCCTGGTGCAATGATCTGCGCCCTGGTTTGATCGCTTTCTGTGGGTGTGTCCACACTGCAATTAGAAACTCGCTGCTGACTTGTGTCAGTTGACTTGATCTTGAGAGGGCTGTTTAATTGCACTGTAGATTTCCGGGCTCTGACTGGAGTCTGGGCTCTAGGACTTTCAAGGTCGGAGGATCCCAGAGATCAGGTTGGCAGCCAGAGCCCAGAAGTCTACACTGCAATTAAAGGCCAAATCAGAGCCCGGAGCCCAAACCAGCAGGCACAGGCCAACCTGCAGTGTAGACATACCCTGTGAGCACAAAAAGGCTGCTGAAATCTGCCATCTTTAAGAAAAGCTGTTATTTCCCTTGGGATGGTCAAACATCTAAAAGTTTGGAACACATACAGAATCCCAGGCACTCATGAGACTCACCAACTTTCAAGGCAATCTGAGTAACCCTGTGGATTTTAGAACAGTTAGAAGAATTGAATTTTAAACAGAAACCTGGTCTAAACCTTAACTATAGAAAGAAGAACAGGAGTACTTGTGGCACCTTAGAGACTAACAAATTTATTAGAGCATGCTCGGGGGTCGCATAACTAGTTATGCGACCCCCGAGCATGCTCTAATAAATTT